CACTCAGTTGTGTTGAAACCACTGTTATAAGATAGCTCTCTTTTATTAATCCTTCTTACAAACATTTATATAGTTTCTACGTTCATTTTAACTTTATTGTATAATTCCCTATGGGTGTCCAATGAACAAAATTTCACTGAAGTCAATAGATCTGTGACAGTTTACATAAGCAGAAAATTTGGTCCTGTACATTAAATGTTACTTACTTGTATCTAAGGGTATGTCTACACTTGCAGCCTAATTCGAACTAGGGCTGCAAATGTAGGCATTCAGAATTGCAAATCAAGCCCGGGATTTAAATATCCTGCACTTGATTTGCATCTTCCCGGCCGGATGCCATTTTTGAAATTTACAAGCCTGAAGTAACTGCCCACGTCTACACGTGGCAGTGAAACGGGCGTTCGAAATAAAGCCCTAGTTTGAACTACCTGGTATTCTTCCTGCAATGAGGTTTAACAGGTAGTTCGAACTAGGGCTTTATTTCGAACACCCGTTTCACTGCTGCGTGTAGATGCGGGCAGTTACTTTGGGCTTGTAAATTTCAAAATAAATAAATAAATGGCGCCTGGCTGGGAAGATGCAAATCAAGCATGGTATATTTAAATCCCGGGCTTTATTTGCAATTCCGAATGCCTACATTTGCAGCTCTAGTTCGAATTAGGCTGCAAGTGTAGACATACCCTAAGACCTATGAAGATACCAGGAACCATACAAAGCACAAAGATACAACACAATACATTTCTTGCATAAATCTTTCCGTTCTTGAATCTGGGAATTCTAGAAATACTGTTGGGAAATCTAGCCTCTGCCTGTTACTGATCCAGGCCCACCTTAATATATGAAAAATATTCAGAGAAACTGGGATTTTCTGGGAACTGAGGTCATCAGAACCTTGTAGATGGGGAGGAAAATCTACCATGAAAGTATGCCAGGTTGTAGCTAATACTTGGGAAACCATTCCCCCATGCAGCTAACATCTCCAAATACTGTCTGGTCTCAAATTTCCCATTATGGAGCCATTTAACTGAGAAGCTTGCTGACACTTGACTCCAACTTCATCTGTATGCAGTTAATATTCTAGATTCTTCCCATTTAAGCTTGAGTTCAATACATGGAAGAGAATTGGTGCTGTTGGTATTGGATGATTGTCTCATGACTGGACAAGAGCCTTCTGCCAGCTTTCATAGTTTTACTGTGGTTAGCTGAGTTATGATGATGTGTTTTCATTCATTCCTCTCAGACTTCACCTAGAATGTCATGATGGACACTTTCTCTAACTCCAAAGGTGTTACCTGTGGAATCATTAAAGGATAATTTCCCTTCCCAACTTTCACTCTTGCATTCTCTCACACACTTTTTTCTCTCTCTCTATAAAGCCTCCAAGACATGTTGAGACAATAGGGACTGAAATACCAGCAGTATGCCAATGGCACACAGTTCTCTTTCATCACCCACCCAGCTGATAGCAGCAACTGGTTGAAGAAAAACTGATAGAAGCTGATTACCTCAACAGCTATGGAGATTTTGATGGGGAAAGGAAACAATGAAGAACTCACCCTGTCTTAACAATGAGGGTGTCTGTTCTCAGAACATCAAGAAAGTCCATAATCTTTCTTCTGGCAGCTGAATCACATAAGTAAAAATATCCCTTTCATCTATGGATGGAAAGAGAACACCACCAACTCCTGTCAGAGTTAAACAAAACCTCCATGATACACAGAAATGTGTCCTTCAGAGTTGATTGTTGTAAATCTCTGAATGTCACGACATGACAACTGACTCTCAAAATGTTACCTTTGGTTCAAATGTAGTAGCCTGTCTCTGTCACATCAACCCAGTGCTTTGTCTTCATCATCTTCCAGTTGAATACTGGGTCAAATTTAATGTTTGCTCATTAGAACTTCAAGATTATCTCAAGGTACTTGAGGGATCATCTCACTCTGTGGGATCATGACTTCCAATGGCGTCCATATTCCACTGGGGATGGAAGTGTCCTTGAGAGAGTCATACACAGAAAACCGTACTTTCTCCAGGATTGCCCCACATAACTGGAACTAGCCTGTGAAAAATATCAGGATGAATGTGAATCTCATCACCTTCAGGACAAAGCGTAAAATCTCTTTCTTTGACCACACTTCCCACAATAGTACAATAAAAAAATCCCCAAACCCAGAAACCCTTACATATGAAAAAAAGTAAAGCCAGTCCTGACAAGAGGAACTGTTTAAAAATTTGATAACAAATCATATGCAGAAATGTAAGATATTGCGAGATATGTAATCATATGTCAACCTTAATTAACAGAAATCTTTCAGTGTGAATCCCCATGTTTTTCTTTGCTTCACTGGAACCTATGACTGCCTTGAATCTCAGAGATATCGTGCTAAAATAATTTTTGTAAAAATGATTTACATTTGTTTAATTTTCATTCAAATAAATTTTACTCATAGTTTGAGTTTTACTGACAAAGTGCTTTGTTTCATCCTAACTTTGCAGTAACAACTAATTACTCACTTATAAATGCATTAATCTTTTAATTAAATGTTACTTTTTTGTTTCTGTGCACTGAACTACAACATTACTTTTATTACTGTAGCATTTTCTATGGGTTTATCACCATAGTATCTGAGAATTTCACAGGCATTAATATGTTCAACATAATGTCCCTATGAATTATGTGTTGCTATATTATACATGGAGAACTGAGGTATGGAGATTAAGATACTTGCCAAAGTCATTCAGAAAGTTTGTGGTAGAGTCAGAAACAAAAGACAGGTTATGTGAGTCCCAGTGTAGTATATTAACCACAAGATCAGTATTGACACAATTTTATATAGAACTTTTTGTCTTTCATGATTGTATTTGCAGTCTGGTTTCAAGCCAAGGTACTGTACTGAGAAAGCAGTAACAGCTGTAGTGGAGGATCTCCTATAGTTCATAAGCAAGGCCAATCTTCCATAATCATCTTGCTTTATCTCTGTGTAGCATTTGTTATCAGTATTCAGTAAAATTCTTGTTCTAGATCTATGATTCTGTTGTTTTAATTTTTAAATCATTAGAAGGCACTTGGTATAATGGTGATGTGAGCCTGTGATGGAGTGCAACTCACTGCTGTGCTGACTCCTGCTGGCTGTCCTGGGGATTAGCTCTGCTAGTCAGTGTGCCTTCTTCTGGTGGTTTCTTTGCCATGACCACCTCTGCTCCTGGATCCATGTTGTGCCAAGGACTGCAGTGTCCTCTTCGGTACACAGCCGTCCATCTGTGTTGCCCTCTGTGCTCCCCTGTTTTGGGGGACAGTATGTATTTCAATGGCCCAGCCACTTCCTCAGCGGGGAGGAGTGACCAGGGTCTGCAGACTACTCCAGGTCCTGGTCCAGCAATTCTATAGATGGCAGACAACTGCTGCGTCCTATCCAACCCATCAGATTGCTTCCCTGGGCCAGTTCCCCAGACCCCTAGCATCTTCTCTGCCCCTACTTCAGGACTTCAGCATGTGAATCTTAGCAGTCAACCAAGAGCTTACTCTCACTCCCCTCTGATTCTGCCTAGCACTTCTCTGTCCAACCCGCTAATTTTTTTTCTCCTCTTTCTGCAAGGCAGCCAGTTCTCCCTTCTTGAGCTTCAGGGAGCAACTGAACCTGCTCTGCCCTGCAGCTCTTCTTATATGGGCCAGCCTGGCCCTGATTGGCTGCTCTTCACAATCTCTTTCTAATTGACTATCTCACTAGGACTCTATTAGCTCCTAACTGGCCACTGTGGGGCAGATGCCTCATCACAAGGCCATATATGTTTCTAGGTAAGTATATCTAATTAGGATCTGGGTAAAATATTGAAGCCAAATTAGCGAAGTATGGACTCAGATCTGCATTTATTTCATTGTGAATCTCCATGGGCTCAGGAGTTTGTGCTAGTGGATTTCAGGCAGGTTTGAATTCTTTAGAAATGTACATATAGCTTGCCCAAGTGTTAAGTAGGATGGCATGGACTGTGATAACTTTGCATGTGATTATAAAGGTGGATACAAGCTGCTGTAACTAGTAGTAATAAGATTAAATTAAAGAAAAATTAGAAAAAACATCTCCTATGAGGGAATTTGTGGAAATGAAACTCAGTGATGAATTTTGAGTGTCTTAAACATTCTCTGAGCATGGGGTTATATGGAGTTACACTTAGTGGGGAATGAGCTGTCATTCCATTTTCCCAGCTCTTTATAATCACTTGAATTCTCAAGGAAAGGGCCTGGTATGTTAACTCTGGGTTTCCTGGTATAGTAAAAAGTCTGTGCTAAAGATGGTAAAATAGGTTCGATAGAGACAAGCAAACAGGGTTTCCACTGGCTTATCTGTCCCCCAAAAAAACCTTTTAAATGGTGCTCTCTCATGGGAGATGGTCATGGAAAAGATAATACAGCCCAAAGCAATGTTCTGGACTAGTGAGGTGCATATAAGGCTATGAAACAATATCCCAAGAGATGCCTCAACATTTCAGATATTTAAAATAAACTAGACAAATGTCAGAGAGAGATTTTCTACATTGGCCAAGAATGGGCTAGATATCCTAATGATTCCCCTCTCTCTGATTTCTAATCCCCAAAATATTTTACAGTATGTCTAAATTAAAGTTTTTAAAAGTCCGAGTAATAGAAATGTAAAGTAGTAATCTTTTATATGAAAACAAAGTCAATCACATGGAAATTCAAAGCTTATACTGACCAGTCTACCATAGAGAAGCTGTGCCAAGAATTTGAGCTAAGGTGTTCAATTTCTTGTCTCTAAGATTTCTTACTATATATTCAATAAATGGACAGAAATAGAACACTCTAGAAAACTGTCAGAACAAAGAAAACATCAGTGAGGTAAATGATTTTGTACAATTTTAATGTTGACTCAATCACTGTATTGTAAAAACAAAGTATATATTGGTTCAAAACTTTTTATGAAGAACTTCTGTCTTTTATTGCTACAGATGTTGATGCATTTTAATTTTTCTCTCTTTCATAGGTATTTGCATATTTTCCAGTGAGAAGACCTTTTGTTTTCCATAAGAAGGCTATTATCCAGCATGTTAATGGGCTTCCAGCTATTAAGATGTAATGATATACCTTGAATATCTAACTATAAATTTGAAAAATCTTGATGAGCAATCTCAAAGGAATACTTAGAATGCCCTCCTAGTAAATTGGCTCATTTTCTTGTAATTTACTAGAAGTGCTGATATGAGAGCAGTTGTAATGTAAAAAGTACATTAATCCCTGGAGTTACATTGTATATATTAAATTATTACTCTCAAAGTATAAAACATACTAAGCCATTTAGCCTTCATTCATACTTGTTACTGAGAATCACTGTAGAAAAATAATTGCCAAGAAATTAGGAATTAAATGTTCAGCATCTTTAAAAACAAGATATTCTGTAATAAAGTCAGTTTGATCTTGCATAACAATTTACCTTTTTCAAAGGGTTGCCAGTGAAAAGAAAGTGTCATTAATGAGGCTTTATCATTAAAGCTCATTTCCTTCAGTTAACAAATTAATATTTTGAGTAATCTGTTCACTTGGCTATCTTTTATGATTGTCATATAGATTAGTTTGCCTGCTGTTCTATCTGCCAAATCCTGAAATCTTTTCTTGAGCAGTATGCTCATTATCTCTGTATAAACAAATGAATTCAATATTTGACCATAGAACTTCTAATAATAAAAATAACTCTGCTGTAGTTATCTTCTAGATATGTACATTTCAGAACACTTGTTTAAAATGTTCTTTGTTTTCCCCTCTGCAGAGTAAGAGAGAAGTGGTGGAACTGCAATTCACTACACTAACTTATATTAACCACCAGTTATTTATGCCACTTGGAGGCTGAAACTCCTGGAAACATGTTGTGTAAGAAATGACAGGGAATTTGCAAAGCGGTTGCCTAGCAAATTGGAGTATGGAGACAATGTTAGATCCCGCTAAAGATGACCTGCCCCTAATGGCCAACACATGCCACATGCTCGTAAAACATTATGAATTGGACTTAGATGTGGATTTTAAAAGCCAAGTTATTGAAGGCACCATAGTTCTCTTTTTTGAGCCTGGGAGCAAATCCAAAAAAGGAGCCAGTGCTTTGGAAGGAACCTGCCTTTCACAGTCAGATGAAACATGCAAAATTAGGGCTTCTGAACCCTGTCACATTCCTGTGACAAATGTAAGTGCCCGCTCATCTAAAACAGGATATAATGATTTTGCTGTCTGTGCTAAAGGTGAAAAAGATACTTCTGATAAAAATGGTAACCATAGCAACGGGGAACAGGCTTCTGGGATTTCTAGTTCAAAGAACTGCTGTGACATAGAGAATCATGGGAGTGAAGATTTTTTACTGGTATTGGACTGCTGTGATTTATCTGTGTTAAAGGTCGAGGAGGTAGATGTTGCTGCTGTGCCAGGTATTGAAAAATTCACAAGGTCTGCTAAGCTAACTGATGCTTCTGAAGAGCTGAGAAATCTTAGGAATCAGATTGTACATGAACTTGTGACATTACCTGCAGATCGTTGGAGAGAACAGCTATACTATTATACCCGCTGCAGCCAGGCACCTGGTTGTGGAGAGCTTCTGTTTTCCACTGGCACTTGGAGCTTGGAGATAAGGAAAGCAGAGATTAAAGCTCCAAGAGAATTTCCTCATGCAATAAGGATATGGTACAAAACAAAACCACAAGGAAGATCAGTTACATGGACCACAGACCAGAGTAGCAGGTATGTAACTGTTCGCTCCACAGCTGTACACGTGTTAATTTTATATAAAGAAGAAGAATTCAGAGTGATGCATTAAAAGGGAGTAACTCTGCAAAGAAAATAAACATTCATTTTCACTGCTTTCTTTTTATCCTTAGTCTGCATTCTACCAGATCACAGTAAAGCAGGTAAACTCAAGGGCAGACAAAATCCTAACAGGATTACATTTCTAAAGCTTGGATCAAATAATTGCTTTTATTTAGTTTGCATATTCAGGATTGGAAGTAGTAGATAATGTTGCATGTCAGGTAAAGGTATATAAATTGTGAGAGGGCAGAAGGGTTAAAGTAGTAGTGGGGGAAGAGAATGTATAAATGACAAATATTTTCACTTTAATATTCTGCATTTTCCCCCTTCCTTGCAAAAGGAACTGAACCTATAAAATAACCATTTGTATTTGTAATAATGAAAAGAATTTCTCACAAGCTAGCTTTTTGTCATTTATTAAAGTTGTGCTAAGTTTATAGTTAGAATATTTTCTAGCTTAGTCTCTCTTAACCAGCTTTTCAAATCTCCTTTATGTGTAATGTAAAATACATTGCTGATCTGAGTGGAGATTATTATTATATTGCATTGTAAATGTATATGATGATGTACAGAGCACTTAAAGTTAGGTTTACAATCACATGAACTGTAATCTTCATTGAATGATATTTAAAATTAGATTTTGATAGTGTATTGAATTCTTTAATGGAGATAGTTGAGAAATAGCAACTTGGTACTTGATGGTACTTGTGCTGTAACATCAAGTTTGAGGGTCAGCGGGAACCAGTAAACCAATGTCACTCCACAAAACAGAGACTGAGTTGTCATTCTATCTCAGTCACTCTAAGGGAAATTGAATCACTTCAATGAAGTCAGAATTTGGCACTCTAAGGGTATGTCTACACTGCACAGCTATTTCGGGGTACTGGAAGTACGCCATGTCTGCACAAGCCGCCCATTATTTCAAACTATTTTTTTAAATAATGGGCACGTTATTTCAGCAACCCAGTAACCCTTGTTCTATGAGGGTTAAGGGATGTCTCAAAATAGCACCTTATTTCAATATTTGAGTGTAGGCGCGCCAAATTTCAAAATAAGCTATTTCAAAATAGATTCGAAATAAGATGCTGTGTAGACACATCCTAATTGTGCTTAAAACAGCTGGACAATTTTAATAATTAACCTCTTCTCAACCTTTAAGGAAAGTGTGTCTTTGCCATATTCGTTACTAAACAGTAGATATTTTTGGTTCTGAAAGAATGTTCATTTAATGTGACTTCTTTATTCAGTGAGATCCTGCATTTTTTACCATTGTACTGAGTGAAGTACCAGGAGAGTGAGTTACTAATAATCATACAAATGTGTCAGTGGCACTTTATCTTTCATTTTAGCTTTTGTAAGTTTCTGGATACCAGCTAGCATTAGACTTTTTACGACTTTTTTTTGTTGTTATTCCAGGTTAATGTTTTAAATATTTGTGAAATTTTTATTTATTAAATTACTAAGGGCATGTCTACTATTTCAAAATTAGTAAAATTGACTTTATTCACAAATTAACAAAATCAAAATAGCGTGTCCCTACTATGGGGAAGCACCAAAATTAGTTAGAATTAGTCCAAAATAGAGTGTCCTCATTGAATGGAGCCTGCCACAGACTTAGAGCTCCTGGAAGCAGTCTGGGGAGGGCACCAGGAGATGGATACTTCCTATGGCTGTTTGGTCAGGCAAGCTGTGATGTGTGTTTTCAGGGGCTCCTATCTACGACCATGTCTCATAAGCCACTTCTCCACTACCTCTCCCTTCGCGGGACACAAAAGTGATGTAGTGGGTATGTGCCACTTTGTGTCTGGTTGTCCTTGTGGACGCCACAGCTCTCATAGCATGGAGCCAGAGCTGCTATAAAGCAGTGCCAGGCTCTCGGGCCTCATGCTGTCATTGCACAGTACTTTGAGACTTGCTCACATGTTGCTCCAGCAGGATGAGGACAAGGACCTGCAGGACAAACCCCAGCATGGACTGCAGACCATTCTTACTCAGGTCCTGGCGCTCCTGCTGCTGCGCATGCCCTCAATCCCCTGGACGCTGCAAAATGCCACTTCTGGTGATGGGAGACAAGCTTGTACTGGTGGGATCACATTGACCTACAGGTAGGGAATGATCAGCAATGGCTAAAGAATTTCTGTATGCACAAGACCACCTTTCTGGAACTCCACAAGTGGCTCGCCTCTGCCCTTAGGCGACAGGACACCCATATGCAACCCACAGTCGCCATTCAGAAGTGCATGGCCATCGCCCTCTGGAGGCTCACCACACTGGACATCTACTGCTCCATTGGGAACCAGTTTGATGCATGGAAATGCACAGTTGGGGTCTTGCTCCTGCAGGTAGCCAAGACCATCAACTATATTCTGCTACGAAGGGTTGTCGCTCTGATCAATGTGGACTGCATCATGGATGGCTTTGCCGCCATGGGCTTCTCAACTGTGGGGCCGGAGGGGGGGAAGCATAGACAGCATTCATATCCTCATCCTGGCCCCCGACCACCATGCCTCAGACTTTATCAACAGGAAGTATACTTCTCCATGGTGCTGCAGGCCCTTGTGGATCACAAGGGATGCTTCACCAACATCAGTGTCGGATGGTCAGGAAAGACGCACAATGCCCGCATCTTCTGGAATTCCTACCTGTTCTGAAAGATGCATGCAAGCATTTTTTCCCCCGACCTCACTATCAGGAGTCGGGGCGGTGGACATGCCCATTTTCATCCTGGGCAACACAGTCTACCCCTTGCTCACCTGCCTCATGAAGTCCTACAAGGGCAGCCTGGATCCTAGCAAGGAACAGTTTAATGCCAGGCTGAGAAGCTGCTACATAGTTGTTGAATGTGCATTCTTCTGTTTAAAGGGGATGTTCAGGAGACTCCTCACTTGCCTGGACCTCAGTGAGCGCAACATCACCTTCATGGAAGAGGCCTGCTGTGTGCTTCACAACCTTTACTAAAGCAAGGGGGAGATTTTTCTCCCGGGGCCTGGGGGTGGTGGCTGAGTCTGAACATCTAGTCAAGGAATTTGAGCAGCCGGACACCAGTGCCATATGGAGAGCACATCAAAGAGCTGTGCTCATCAGAGAGGCCTTGAGAGAGAGTTTCATGCAAGGCCAGTTGTGAGACTTTCCTTCTGTGCCTCCACAAAAGGGGCCCCTGCATTCCCTGTGTGTGCCTTTCATTCTTATTCGAGTAGTGTCCCTGTGGGTGATCCACTGAGGTATCGGGCTCGTCCCGGTGCCGCAGTCTGGAGATTTTTGCCTAGCAGTAGCCCCTGGAGGACTGTGCATGCGCAGAAGCCACCTCACGCCATTCGGGCCTTTTCTGCATCGCATGGTCCTTACCACCAGTTCTTCCTAATCGTCCATGATTACAGACAGAGTTGAGACGAGCTCCTACCTCTGCCTGAGGAGAAAATAGAGTTATTCGTATTTAGCTTCTTCTCGTCCCAGTTTAGACCCTACCTTATAGTTATAGTTAGAGTTACAGTTCTAGTTAGTTTAAATTTTTTTTTTGTTATTGTATATAGTTTCCTGCTACTCTGCAGATAGCTTAACCTGTGGACGTCTTTCTTCCAACATGCCTGGCTCTCTGGGTTTTAAGAAATGTGCATCATGTGGAGACGCCATGCCAGCATCTGACGGCCATTCCAGATGCATACGGTGTCTCAGGGAAGGCCACATACCACAGAAGTGTGGTCACTGCTCCAAACTAACTGCCCGGGACAGGGAGATGCGGCTTAAAATGCCGCTTTTCAACAAAGCGCTTCAGCCGCCATCTAAGGAACAGCAGATGGACGCTCCAGCCTGTAAGTCCCATGAGGAAAAGGGCTCCGCTCTGCTTTGGAGTGTAAGTGAGGGAGATGCACCGGGCACTTCAGGCCTGCCACCAAAGCATCCCGCGGGGAAGCCTTCCAAGGCCTGTACTACTCCCTACCCCTGCGATCTCCTCTGTATCGGAGCTGGTGTCGCACATGCCGCCCTGCCTTGAGTCGGCTCTGGCGACGACACCACGACACCAGTCGGTACCAAGAGCAGCTCTGAGACCCAGGCCAGCACCGTCAACGGCACCGAGAGCCGAGCCGGCACCGAGGGCTGGGCGGCACCGAGGGCAGCGGAGAGATCCAAGCAGGCGCTGAGGGCTGAGGTGGCACTGAGACCATTGAGAGCTGAACCGGTGCCAAGAGCCAAACTGGTGCAAGCTCTGAACCGGTGCCAAGAGCCAAACTGGTGCCAAGAGTGGACACGGCGCCGAGAGTTGAAGCTGCGCCGACAGACTAGTGATAGGAGTTATTTTACTCGGCACCAGAGCCTGTCACTGCATCGCCCGGACCATCACATGTGCACCTGGCGCCTGCATCCCCAGTGCTCAGATCACCATCTATGCACCGGGGAATGTCAGACTTGGGCTCCGTGTTATCCGCACCGGCTAGTCCAACACCCACAGCTCTTCCTCCTCCATCAAAAGCCACCTTACCAACCAAGGCACAGAGGAAGGCTCTCCATGTACACCATCGCTCAGCCCCAATAGGGCTTTTTTCTCCCCTGAGCCTTCTCCTTCACCTCATCGTAGACTAGACAGGCGTGATCATAGGCGCTACAAATCGCCACCTCGGAGCTACTGGAGATCTCTGCGGAGATCCCATACACCTTCATGGTACCATTGTTCATAGCGCTCTCATTCTCCGTCACATTACACAATACGATCGGGGCCTCCGGTGTCTCCGCCTCGCTCACGCTATTCTCATTATGGGGATGCAAGTCCTTACTCTCCACGATGCTCCCCACACCATCACCATAATAGTCGTTATACCTACTACTACCGGGACCGCCCACGCTCCTACAGTGCAGCTTGTTCACCGTCGGTATCACCAGAGCGGCCTCAATCACATTTGCCGCATCTTCCTACTCAGGAAATTCTTCCTCCAGGGGAA